CGTCTGATACGACCAACGACCGACCAAAGCAACGCACGTCATTCTCGCTTCACCACAGGGCGCAGCCGGTGTTGCATGGCAATGTACGACGCCGCAGCTGTCTTGTACTCTTCGAAGGTGGCGACACTGTCGTSACCTTGGCGATAATAATCCACAAACATCATGGCCTCAACAGCACTCCAGTCATCGAAGGCTCCATTCTTCGCAGCCAGCACAGCAYCTATCTGTTGCAACCTGTGAGAAGTCTCTATCGCGCAGAGGGCAGAGACTACGTGGTGAGGACCAGCAGAAGACAACGATTGGATCCACGCAGGTGGCCCTGTGGGAACCTGCCGAGAAACCGGTTCCCAAGCCGAGGATCCGGCCTCAGACTCGACCGGGGGAAGAGGGAAAGGTGGGGGTGTCGGAGGGAGAAACAAACGCCGCTGCACATGATGCGAAGCAGCTGGAGCGGACAGTGGAGTGATCGGAGAGTTAGCCGCCGGCGCGCTGAACGTCAATGGCGACTGGCCACGCGCGTCCTCCGCGGCGACGGAGTCGCCTGTTCTCTTGCGAGTTCGGCTGCGGATGTAGGCCTGCGAAACCCAGTGCCGGGCGGTGCATATGTCGCAATCGGGCAATCTCCGTGACACGCCTTGACATAAGGACACAACGACCTGGGCGTCTCGGGCAGACGCAAAGCAATTTCATCCAGTCTAGCGTACTGATAGATCTCAAACGACACGTAATCGTCGTGAACTTTTGCGAATCTTTCACAAAGAGTCCGAACGACAAATCCAGCCCTCGTGACATGTTCATACTGGAGGATGGCCTGGATAAGCTCATGCGAGTCCTGCAGCGATCCGTTATCGCACACTAATTCACGACGACGCGGGACAAACCTGCGCTCGATCCTCCCTCTCGCAAGCAAAAAGTCTAGCCAAATGTGTTCCGTAAGCTCAACCCGCTCTCCATCCAAGAACAGCGCGATGAGCATCCAGTTCAGAATCCGTCTCCTACCCACCCTGTCAAGAATGTCCGTCCAAGACTCGACTATCCTCTGCGTCTTCCGGTCGAGAGCAACAGTGCCTTCCTTATCCAACCAGATAGGCGGATCGTGGTGCCTGATCTCCTGATAAACCAATTTCGTACCCGGCCGAAAACCATTGCGGCCGTACGATGGTATGATCTCCGGGCCCGTGACTATACCTTCGGAGTGCTCGGAGTGAGTTGCTTGTCTCGCCGCAAGCGAGGACGAATGGTCGGGTGTTCTCGCAACGTCCGACGTCAAGCTGGGCCCTACAACGACCTTGCGTGGCCGGATTGCAAACGCTGACGCCGGGTCGAAATGTCCGCATGCCGCGCCCGTCACTATACCTTCGGAGTGCTCGGAGCGAGTTGCTTGTGTCGCCGCAAGCGAGGACGAATGCTCGGGTGTACGCGCAACGTCCGACTTCAAACTGGGCCCTACGACGACCTCGCGTGGCCGGATTGCAAACGCTGACGCCGGCTCGAAATGTTCTCATGCCGGAGCAGATTCAAACCGTTGCAAAGCCGGACGTCGACCATGCACAGCCGGAGGCGAAGGTCGCACGTAGGGAACAAACGCCGAAGCCCCGTCCGGCTGGCACGTTCGTTCGCGCTTTCTACACGGCTTAACCTGCGTTCCTAAGTTGGCCTTCTCGTCATCGATTTCGCACATCTCGTTACTCACCCGGTCCGCACCCCCCGTACCAGCACTTGTGCCGGCAAAGGCCACCGGAGCGGTGGAGGGCTGCACTGACCTGCCTGCCGACACATCGCATGGAGCCGACTGGCCGGCACAACCGGCAGGCGCTCCATCCCATCCAAAACCAAATCGGATTGGCGATGATCGCTCCCCCTTCAGGGAATCGTCCGACTCATCCCCCGATAAATCCCCTAGCTGCACACCTGCCTCGTATATATCCAGCAGAAGCACACAGGCCGGAGTGTGGATAGCCAACGGGCCCCTCGCCTGCACCGGTTCGGCCCGCGCCGGACTGCAGCGTTCAGGCTCAAGGCCGGCTCAAGCGTCGCCGACACTTCATCGTAATCGTACTCAAGGAAGTCACCATCGTAAGTAGAAACAGCGCATTCAAGGAGGGAGCGATTGTTGTGCGCGCGTGCAGCTGTGGAAACGGCGTCCGCTGCAGAAGCGTGCGCCGCGTTGCCAACAGAAGGTGCTGTACCCAAAGGCATCTGACACAACATGGACACACAACATACAGAAAGCCACAGGACGAAAAGGTCAGCACGCGAAGATAGACAATCCCAACAATAGAACATGTACGACGGCGCAAACAACAACCGACCCCCTCCCTTGCCACGGCTGCACTCGCAAAGCCAGCTACGCCAGCAGCTCTTTGAAAACGATGTTCTTCGTTCTCGTGGAACCCGCAGGCAGCGCAACACGAATGTCGTCCGGATGCCCCTCACGCGATAGACCAACGTAGAGATGACCATGACCGAACACAGGTTTCTCAAGATACAAACCGKCCCTCGACACACTCTRACCCTGGGACTTGTTAATCRTGATYGCAAACGCAGCACGCAAGSGGAACTGTCGCCTCTTCCACAGGAAGCCGGCCGAGTCGTCGGAGTCCAGAGTCAACCGAGGTATCACCGCGATCTTGCGGGTGGGCAGAATCGTGGCTTCGATGAGCCGTCCAGACACCGACTTGTTCACGATCAGCCGAGTGTCGTTGCACATGCCCATGTGCACACAGATGTTTCTCAGCAACATAACCGGAACCCCCTCCTTCAGCCGCAGCACGTGCGGTGGCAAGCCCGAGCAATTCAAGCTGCTGAGGTACTCAACCGGAACATTCAAACCGTAAGAGTCCGTAGGCGCGCTGTCGACTGACATGTACACGATGTCCGGCTGGGGCAGACCATCCAAAATCATATTATTGATAACGTGCGCAGCGTCGTTCTTCGGACACAAAACAAACCTGCCGGTGAGGTAGTCGGGGTCGTGAAGATGCCGACCGAGGTCGGGAAACGTCCAGTCGATGAGAGCAGCAAGATCCAGATCCATGCATATCTCCGGTGGCAACTCAATCGTCTCGGGATCCGCGAGGTCCACGACGTCGTGCTCCCCGTCACCCACACGCAGCAGGAAAGCAGCGAACTTTCTTGCGACCTCATCATCGCCACGGCGCAGAACCCTCATGTTCTCGTCCAGCTTGTGCGTCTTGAAGCGTGCCCACAACGGCGACGATTTTATGGAAGCCCTGATTTGCTCAGCCCGGCTGCCCCTCCTCACCACCGGCAAAACTTGCCTGAAGTCGCCCGCCAGCAACAGCACCTTACCACCGAAGGGCTCGTCCGATTGACAGATATCTTGCAAGGTGAGGTCGAGAGCTTCCAGCTGCGCCCGGTGCGTCATCGGGGCCTCGTCCCACACTATAAGGCTGCACATTCTTATCAGTTGTGCAAGTCCGCTCTGTCTTCGAATCGGAAATGGTTTCTTAGCATCCGGCTGAAGAGGCGCCTGAAACCGCGAGTGGAATGTTCTTCCGCCGGGAAGCAGAAGCAACGCTATTCCGCTGGACGCGACCGCCAAAGCGATGCAGTTTTCGTGCCGACGAACGCCAGCAAGTATCGTGTTAATGCAAAAGGTATTTCCTGTTCCGGCGGGAGCATCGACGAAAACGCACAGGGGACTCCTGTTGAGCACAGCGGACATAGCGCCATCGACCAGCTCTTTTTGCGAAGGGCGAAACAAAGGGTAGTTTGCTGCCCACTGCCTCTCCATATCCGCCCTGTCGTACATCAGCTCCTCTCGGATCAGCTCGGGCAAGCCCTCGAGGGGAATCCGAGCGCGCAGCTCCTCAGCAACGCGCTGCGCCTCTGGGTCGGGGAACGTCAAACCAACTCCTCCCATACTCGTTTTCATGTCCAATAGCTGAACGTGAATGTCCAACAACGCCAACGATTGCAGAACCCCCGGCGCGACACTCATGCCCCTCAACTTCCTCACGTAGTCCTCGGACATGGGCTCCCAGTACTTATAAAACAGCGCCATGGGGTCGGACACCGGACCGTACGCAAGCAGCATCGCGAACACTTGCCTGATCTGGTGCGGCATGTAATGAAGAGCCGCCGTTTCCATATCCTTGTCGTACTCCGAGTCATCGTCAAGAAGATGGAGGCGCTGGCAAACTTCTCGAAACGTGCCCAACTCCCGCTGCTCCACCGTTCTCAGGGCAGCGAAAGACGTTGCACCACGAGAATGTTCATGCCCGAGGAGTATGCGCAAGTAGAAGAGGTCCCCCTGAGCCGGGCACGCACGCTGCAGCCGCCCGATCTTAGGAAAGGCTCCGGATCTACCACCCGAGCGCCGCAATTTCCACCGCTTCTCAGCCTTGTGCCACGTGTGGGTTTCCGTGATATCGGAATACAGCGGAAAACGATCGCAGCCAGAGCATCGAAGCTCCTCGTTCAGCTCCATCCACGCAGTGAACTTTGTGCGACCCGCTCCAACGTCGACTGCAGCCTCCTTGCCGCCTTCTTCAAACACGACAGTCTCGTCGCCCTCCAAGTGAAAGGGCAACCTTTCGACGGGTGGCCACTGTTGGGTTACGGGGAATCCGAAGATCAGCCAGCACGCCTCGCTCGCGCCAACGCAACGCAAGTCCCGGTACTTACGAATTTCGTTGCGCGCGTGCTGTCTCTCCAACTCCGCAACCATAACCCGATCGTTCCCTTTCAAAATGTACTTGTACAAATACTTGCAAGCGAGCACGTTAGCGCACGACTCAACATTAATGTGCGAGTTGAAACGCAGTAGCAGGTATCCGTTATATGGCACGACTCGACCGTTGTCGTACACCATGCCGCCATCGCAAAGCGTGCAACCCCCTTCATCCGGGGAGGACCGTCTGTAAACAGGATACCCTTTCCCCGCCTGGAAGGTGGTTTTTCGCGCAAACCATTTCGGGAAGTGTTTTGTGCAGGGTTTGTTTGTCGTGCAGGGGGCGGACGGGTTCCCAACGCCACACATCTAATGGATCATGAACTTCGACACCATCTCGCGAAGCTCTCCGTCCGGCGGTATCTCGGCGGATATGACTTCGTCCCAGCATGCGGATTGGATTGGACAATTTTTGCCCTCTATCGAGTATCACCAGAATGTGTGCATGAGGAAGACCCCGTTTTTGGAACTCGACGGTGTAAAAGATCGCGCTCACCGCTCCAAACACGCACTTGTCCTTTATTTCATGTATCAGCTGCTTCAGGTGACCGCGAAACACACGCGCCAACAGGTCCGGCCTGTCGCTGGGAACCTGACCCGGCAGCAGCGCATCCAAGATTTCAGGCCAGTTGCTGTTGCAAGTCATTGTAATGAACAGATCGGGTCTCCCGAGCTTTTGAACAACGACCATGGCATCGTAATACTTCTCGGCCATGTGACGGGGCCCGCCCGTGAACGTCGAAGGCAAAAAGACCTTCGTCCCCATGCCGTCGCCATGTTCATTCTCGTGCACAGCTCTCTGCAGTTCCTTGTACCGTTCGCAGCGCATTTTCTCCTGGTTAAACTCCAAGTAGTTCAAGCGATGAGTCTCGACCTTGGCGTATGCCATGCAGCAGTACTCCTGAAGCAATCGCTCCGCGCAAAGCAGGGTGGTACGCTCCCCACACCTCTCATTCAAATGGAAGGCATAGAATTGTCTCGCGGTCATGCTTTCGGGGTTGCCTTTCGAAGGGTCGGGCCGACTGTCCCAACCATCCTCGCCACCCGAAAACAAAAGCACATAATGCAAAGGGTTGTACGCCCTATTGTCATCGGCAACCTTTCTTACCACAGAGCCTCCGCTGCCCTCCGCCAAAAGCACATAATNCGCTGCCCTCCGCCAAAAGCACATAATGCAAAGGGTTGTACGCCCTATTGTCATCGGCAACCTTTCTTACCACAGAGCCTCCGCTGCCCTCCGCCCGACAACGCACCTCCACCTCGCTCGACAACAACTGGTCCGGAATCAACACGCACAACTCTAACAAGCCTTCCGGTTTGTTGTACCGCCGTTCGTGCTCACCGCGTGGCCGCGTGTGGGGGTTAATAACGATCCTCACCCCATCACGCCGAGCAGCAGGCATTTCGTGATACGTTATAAAGTCGCGCACATACGGATTGCACTGCAGCAGAAGTCCGTGAAGGCGAGCAAGCAACAGCCGAATTGCTTGGATCTCGCACTCCGTCGTGCTCTCGCGAAGGTGCATCGTGTCCACTCGCATGTCCGTAACAGCGTCAACGTCAGCAGGGTCGTAAACGTACATCTGTGCGAACTGCTACCTCTCGCCGGGCCCCGGCTCCAACACCCCAAGACAATGGTGCACAGGCCCTTGGATCTTCAACTGCCCTTCGAATCCTCGCAATCCCTACTCCGCTTTCCTCATATGCGCAGACACGAGGCACAACGCGTTGTTGAACCTACGCGAATTCGCCCTCAAAAGCCTGCCCTCGCGAGAGTCCTCTGTCCATAGCGACAGCACCAAGTGCGCCGCACTTCCTTCCTCCGGCATCTCCCACAATTGGCACTTCGTCCTGCCTCCTTTACAACAAATCGTTTTCCACGCATGTTCATGCGGCCAAAGCAGAGCACCGCAATGCGCGCAAGGCGAACGTTCCCCGAGACTGTACGCATCCACCGTGCCCTCGTTCCGAAAGATCTGCACACCGTTCGAGATCGCGCAACGGTAAGTAGCAAAAGGCAGCACAGGCAAACGCGGCGGTGCCACACGAGCGACCTCCTCGGATGCGCCACCCACGGACCCCAAACGTAACCTGCCTACGTCCAACCCCGAACGGCTTCCGGCATCGATCCCGAGTTCGTCGGCCCCCTCGCCCCGTCCCTCAACCGCAGACGCATGTCCCTCCAAGTCCGAACGGCGGTCGGAAGCGCACACCTGTGCGCTCGAGCGTCGCAATGCTCTTTCCGATACACCGACCTCGCTTCCAACCCCAACGTTCCCGTCCCCCCTCCGCCTTCCCTCTCCCCGACTATGGCAACCCGCAGGCGCATCGAGAAACCTCAGGGGCTCGCCGCTGCTGCCCCCGGCACGTGCCGACGCCCTGCGCTTCCGTCGCCTCGACACTCTCAAC